AAAAAAAAAAAAAAAAAAAAAAAAAAAAAAAAAAAAAAAAAAAAAAAAAAAAGATGGATATAGATCTTTTCTACTTAATTTAGGCTTGTATTTAGAATTCTGGATATATCCAGTAAAGGGAAAGTTGCCTTATTATCCAGTTTTCAAAACTCTGTCCCTCTCCTGTCAGAGCTAGAGTCCCATTTTGATACATTTGCTGTATTTTTATTGCATTTTGGAATACTGGCTATTGTGGACCTAAGGGAAATAAAATGTTGTCTCTTTTCCCATCTAAAACTGAGACATTTTGTTGGGTGAGTTACTTAGCTGTAGTTTTAGAATTATTAGCTTTGAACTGTTAAATGATTTAAAACAGCTTTAAAGGCATATTTATTTAAAACATAGATCTATAAGTGTGTGCCTTTTCATATTATGTACAAATGCATTCATATCTTTTTTTGGCCATTTAAAGGGGCTAAAACTGGCTTTTTTTGTGCCATTTTCAGAGGTGCTTGGGTGTATGAGCCACGAAAGTTACATAAGTTGCCCATCACCCTGAGTTTTATGTCAAATATAAAACCACATTGGGGGTGACGGATGCTCTCTTTATATCTTCTGAGGAAAGAACAAGAGGAGGATCATTAAGCTATAATAAGACCAAGCTATTTATAGGGTGAGTGGACCCACTTTCTTTCTGGGCTTCTATGGAAGGCTGGTGAATTTACTTTACTAAAAATGCACACAGTTAGATTTTATTAGACAGACCTACTCATGTGCCCAGTGAAAGGTGGGATGACGCAGACAGAAAGGTGCCATAGCTCCCCCTCAGCAACGTGGGAGAGCAAGACTCCCCGACTCTCCATTGGGGAACCCCAGGAGAGGATGGAGTCCATGGATATAGGATGAGGGGCTTGGCATGTGGTGCAATCTAAAGTCAGTGATCCAGTCATGTTTCTGGCCTCTTCCTCTGTGATGTGTGTTATCTTCTCTTTGAAGCTTGTTTTTATTTATTTTACATTTGTGTGTGTGTGTGTGTGTGTGTGTGTGTGTGTGTGTGTGTGTGTGCGCGCGCACTCACACGAACACACATAACACTATGTGTAGAAATCAGAGGACAACTTGTAGGTCTTGGTTCTTCCATTATAAGAAACTAGAGGATCAGGTTGTCAGGCTTGGTGTCAAGAACCTTTATCCCCTGAGCGATCTCATTGGCCCTGAATCTTGTGGGTGTTTTCACTTTTATTCTTGATTTTTCAAAAATATTTTTTTGAGAATTGTATTCATGTATACAGTGTGTTTTGATCAAATCCACACCCGCTCCTTCCATTTTAACTTCTCTTATACCCCCTCCCTCCCTCCCTTTCAACTTCATGTACTTCATGGACCACCTTTGGAGCCTCGGGCAGAGACCCTTCTCGTGGTACATATTTAGGAAAGTGTTTGATGGCTTGTCACAAAGAATAAATAAGATAAATATCTTTTTATATAATTTTCGCATAACATCTTACAAAGCATCACATTATGGCCTAAGAACAGTAATTAGCACTGGAGCTCAGAAGAAACAAAATGCTGTTATGTTGTAGTTCGTGTCTCAAATGCTCCACAAGGCCCTAGGCTTTTTTTCCTAGCTAAGCTCTACTTTGAGGCTGTGATGGAGACTTTGAGGGGAAGCCAAATGAGAGGGTTTCTGGTGATTGGGGTACCAAGCTTTTAAAGGGGACATTCCCCCACCCCAGATGTAGATCTATTGTGTGCTCAGCACTAGTCTTCTTTATTTATCTGCCTTGCATTTTGGATGGAGAAGATCCTAAAGAAACAGGCTAAAAAGAATGGAACACAGGACTATGAAAACATCAGCACTCAAGGATCACAGGACAGGGTCAGGCTTTCCTTAGCATCTCTAAGCTTTGAGTGTTGTGAGATTAAGCATTCACAACAGGATCATTGGTGTGCAGGTACCCATAGACTGTCCTTGATGTAGCTGAACAAATAAAGGTCAATCTCCCCTTGCTAGGTAGGGATACTTACTCCCAATCTTTATAAAAATTTAAATTATTGAGAGGAAAAATTCTAGAAAAAAATAATCTTTATTCCTTATTGTTTTCCTATTCTGAATTCATTGTGCTTCATTAATATAACTGATGTGATTTGAGATTTGGCAATTCACAACTGAACTTGAAAATAAATGATCCTATCTGAGTTAGCAATTTTGAAGGAGCTGATTAGAGTGTATTACAGAATTGTGATTTGAATCTTGTTCATAACACATCCCATGGAAACACACACACACACACACACACACACACACACACACACACACACACACACACACACCTTCCTACAATAGTAAATGAAGTTCAAACACATAGTGAGTTTTTATTCCACTTACTTAGATGTCTGAGCTTTGAAATCATAGACAGCTTTTGCAGGCAATTTCTGAAAAGAAAGGTAAACATTGAGCACTAAATTAAAAATTTTAAATTTCATATAAGAACAATAAAACACATGCGACGCAAGTGATATGTGCCAGTTACAAATGTGTCAGTTAGTGGTACCTTTAGACTAGTGAACTAAATGAGGGCACAGTAGCTGATTTCTTCACTAGGCTTCATTTCAGGAACTGAAGATGATTAATGCCACAATATGATAAAATGCCCATTAAAGATTCTGTCCTAATGTGCCATTTTTGAATACCACAAACAAACCATTTGTGGAGGACCAGCTGCTCTAACTTCTATGGGTTGACACTAGTCTGTCTGAGTCATAATAAAAGGAACAAAACCCACAAAAGAAGTCATCATAATCGTCACTAAATACTGATTATCCAAGAGGTAGTAGCCCAGTTATCAAGAGGTTAGTTAGCCAAAAACAGAGAAATGGAGGGTTCAGGAATCCTTTGGCTTATCTTTTAGTTATGAAGTGATCCCCATGCCTACCCTCAAACTCTGGGGCCCACAAATCTACTTGAGGCACACTATACCATGTAGGTAGTGATATCAGCTCTTTCCCTCCCACCAATCAGTAATCCTTTCACCCAGTTTTTCTTCCCCTGGGGTTCTAGTGAGCTTCAAGAAACTTGGGCAATTCATGACTTTGTAGTGGTCTCACAGTCTCTCTCAGACTGTCAGTCAGAGGTCAGTTTTTAGTTTCCATCAAGCCCTTATGTCCCCCAGAGCAGTTAGGAATAGGTGGTCCAGCTCTGGTTTAAGGTGGAGGGACCAGGAGTCAGTGGTATATAAGAACTTCTCAATGCTACTAGAACTTGGTGGTCTTCTCCAACAAAAGTAGTATCATCCTAAGTGAGGTAACCCAAACCCAGAAGGACAAACATGGTATGTACTCACTCATAAGTGGATTCTAGATATAAAGCAAAGAACAATCAGACTGCAACCCACAGAACCAGGGAGGCTAGCTAGCAGGGAGACCCTAGGATGACTGTGGCTTATAATAAGTTTTGGGTTTACTCAATTACTGGGCAAGCCTCAATGAAACATTTCACAATTAAGATAAAAATTTAGGGCATGCCTTTAATCCCAGCAGAGGCAGAGCCAGGTGGATATCTGTGAGTTCAAGGCCAGCCTGGGCTACCAAGTGAGTTCCAGGAAAGGTGCAAAGCTACACAGAGAAATCCTGTCTCAAAAAACCAAAAAAAAAAAAAAAA